GATTAGTTAATAGATAGTTATGAATTGAAACATTTGATTAGTTATAGATAGTTATGTAATTGAAATATTGATTAGTTATGATAGTTATGAATTGAAATATTGATTAGTTATGATAGTTATGAATTGAAATATTGATTAGTTATGATAGTTATAAATTGAAGCATTGATTAGTTATGATAGTTATGAATTGAAATATTGATTTCTTCCCTTTTCCCTTCTTATTTTTTGTTATTCTTTTTCGCGATAAAAAGAAAAAGATACCATTAAGAAAAGTGAATTTTACTAAAAAAAAAATGAAATTTGGGATTATTCAAAATTTTAAAGAATTTAATAAATTCTTAAAAATTTAAAAAAATAAAAATTAACTTGAAATTGCTTTCAAAAAATTACAAAATTTCGAATGCCAATCAATTAATAAATTTTTCAAACTTTTTTTTCAAAAAAAATTTTTTTCAAATTATGAAATTTTGAAATTTTTTCCTGAAATTGAAATTTATTAAGTTTTTTCCAAATTTAATTTCTTTTAAAATTTCCATAAAAGATGTAGGAAAACCTATTCATTTGTGACTAATTTAAAATGTTGACATTAGTTCAAATGATTGCTAAATGTCATTTCTGTCAACTTTCTTCATTCCTTCCTTTTATTCTAAACAAACAATTTTTAAGGATAAATTTAAGTATAAATTTGATTTATTGACAATAATAAGCGTAAATTTAAATATGAATTTGTTCGGTGACAGTTTCCAATGATCATTTATAGACAAATATTATAATTGTTTATTCTAGTTATAAACAAATGTGTTAGTAAGTAAACAAGAAGATTTTATAAGGAAATAATTGAATAATGGATTTAGCTAATGAAATGGATAAATTTTGCTATAATCAAAAAAAAAAATAACATTTCTTTCTCTTTCTTTCTTTTTAAAATTAATTTAAAATTGTAAATGTTTGCATGAATTAATTGACTAATTAATTAATGATTGTGATGATAAAACTTTTCTTTTTAAATTACAATTTACCAATTATATTTCTGTTTTGATTGTTTTATTTCTTTCAAATTTTTAAGTAAGAACAATTGTCTTGTATTGATAAGTTTCATTATTAAGACATAAAATGAAATTTGATAATTACCAGAATAGTTGGTAGAATGGGAAATCATCACTTTTTTTTCTTTATTATCAATTTTTATCATCAAATAATTATCATTATCGAATAATAATTTTTAAGAGTAAAAGCTTTCTTCTTTTTTTTGTTAACTTTAACAAATTTCTTCAATTATTTCAATTTTTAAGCTAAATTAGGTTTTCAATTAGGAAATATTTCATGCTAATTTATCAACATAAAACAGTGTTGGCGGAAAAATGATGAAGAATGAGGCGGTAAAATGACAAAGGAAAAAAATAGAAAAAAAGTAAAAAATGTAATTAGCCATTTTTTTTGATCCTTAAATTAGGAATATTTTAAAAAATGACTTACTTTTTCTATTTTTAAATGTTAGAACTGATATACATATATATCAGTATATTTATCCTATCCATATATTTTCTATATCAGACATTAAGACAAGGTCAAATGTCAGATATATATATATATATATATATATATATGATCACATAAGTCCAGTGTTATACTACACAGTTCATCTTTGTCAGATAATTCTTATCATCAAACTTCGTAATCATTAATAGGAATCAAAACTTCAAGTCAAAAAAAAGTGAATTCAATGAAAGAAAATAATCAATGAGTAATTGTTTTATCTATCGATTAAATAATTTGATGTATAAAAAAATCCTTAAATGATTTGCTATTTTCAATTAATCAATTAGTTAATGAATGTGAGGAAAATTAAAAATTTTATTTTCAAAGAAAATGAATGTTATCAATTCAGTTACTCAATATTTAATTAAATTTAATACAAATATAAAAATAGCCTAAATTGATTTTTAATCTTTGCTCACTTATTTCACAAAATTCCCATTTACAATAATATTTTTCTTTTTTTCAAATTTCTTCTCCATAATTTTCTAAAATTATCACTTCCTAATTAAACAAGTTTGTTTATTTTGCAAAAAAAAAAAAAAACAAAAAAATGTCACCAATAATGATATTATACTAACTTAAGTATCATAAAAGTTCCAATTCATTGTCGAAAAAAAAATATGGTGATGTTAATTAATGATAGCTATGCTAACAACAAAAATGATAATTATTAATTATTAATAATTAGTAGCTAATAATAATAATAATAATAATAATAGCAATGAAGATACTAACAATAACCAATAATAATTGTTAATAATTAACTAATTAATTAGATAAGAATAACAGTAACTAACCTCAGCAAGTTGTTTCATCGCTTCAGTTATAGTAGTAGCGTTGTCATTATCATTATCATTATCATCATCAGTATTATCAATAGTATTGTTATTTTGATAAAACTTGCTACTTGAACCGTACATCCGATGCCGCATGCAACGAGCGCACACTTCTGCAACAAAAAAAAAGCATACAAATAATCAAAATTTAAAATTTCACAAATTTAAAAAGAACGAATAGATAAAAGGAAATTTAAAATAGAAAAATTTGCATTTTTAAATTAAAAATCATTTTATAATATTGATTAAAATTATAAATTTGCATAAATATTTCAGACTAACATCTGAACTATTGGTTATTAATTATATATTAATCACATATTAAATATCAATTATTTTAATTATTTATGAAATGTAGCAATAAAAAGAAAATATTTTTATAAATTTTATTTTTCATAAACTAACGTTTTTTTTTATTAAACACATTTATTAAACATATTAAATCAAATATTTGAACTTCTAATAATTTAATTAGACTTTAATTAATTTTATTAAATTAATAAATGCATTTTAAATGATAAAATTGTAGTAACGTGAAACGGTTAGTATTAAGGAACAAATTGCAATTTATGTTCCGGAATGTTAAGAAAGTAATCAAACCGGTCAGTCAACAAATTGATGTTTGATATGAATCAGTGGATGAATGAATGTAAACAAAATATAAGAAGAGAAAGGGATGGTATTTTATTAAAAGATTTATTAAAATATTGAAAAGTTGCAAATACAATAAATAATTTCGATAGAATTACAAATTTTACCATTTCTGCTGCATTAATTATAGTCTCAAATAATAATTAATTAAAGTAATTAATTAAAAATTTCCGTCACATTAATTATAATCCTAATTAATAATTAATTAAAATTTTTTTTGAAAAAAAAAGATTTTATCTGTTTATTTATTTGTCATATTATTTATGCTTTATTATTAGAATTTTGAAATAAACTTAGCTAGTCCAATTTTTGCAATTAATTAAATCAAGAGAATAGTATTTGTTTTTTTTTTCA